TCCTTCTACAAGCGGCCTGGTGATAACTTCTCCAGCTTCGCCAAGCTTTTTTTTCCCCCTTCTTCTTCCCTCTCTCTCTCCCTCTCTCTCTTATATTGTTCACATCCAGGGCCACAGCCTGTTAATTCTGCTTTATAGCCAGAATGGAGAACTCTAATCTTCAATTTCCATGATCACTTCATTCTGTAAAAGCCTGTAAAATACATCTGATGTTAGAAAGTGAGATTTTTACTGGGATGTTTGCTTCAAAGTAAAATATCACCAACTTGTAAGACGGCACTTTGTGTCATACGCTACAATATGGGCCCCCGAGCTTTTGCCAGACATGTGCAGCTCGCCATTAAAGTGAAATATTTAAGCATCAAGCCGCTATTCAAACTGGAAAAGACACACACACACACACATGGAGAGAATGTGTGTTTTCAAGGTTATTTTAACAATGTCTACTGTTGATGATTTCACTACTGCCAAGTGTGAGACTGCTGTAGGCGTCAGCTTTAAGAGCATCACTGACGTACAGTCTACAAGCAAAAAAAAAAACCCCAGCCATAAACGCTTGTTTGTGGTAATTTAAAATTGCTTTTCCTCTCCGTTATCAGATGAATCAATTCTTTTTGCCCCCCGAAAAATGATTTAGAGAATAAAACCAAAATTAAAAAAAAAAAAAAAAAAAGCAACCAGATGGAACAAGAAGGCTCATTCATACCGTAATGAATGACCTATTGAAATTGATTGGCACTGATTATGTTTTTTTTTTTTTCTTTCTTTCCTTTTTTTTTTTTTTTTCCCTGTGAAATCTTCAAACGCTTCTGCGCTTTACCTTCCGAGCCACGGCTGTCAGCTCGAGTCACATCAACGGGCGTTCAATCGGTGCATTTAAAGGGAAGCGCAGAAGGAGTCGCGTCTGATGTCTTGTGCCTCGGAGGAAGTGTGGGAAGAGGACAATGCGGCGCTGCACGCAGAAACAACAGTTGTCGGTTGTCAGCAGAGTTCACAGTTGAGTTTGAAAACAAATTTCCTTCTTGTAGGCTGGGAGGACGTTTTGGGGATTCGGGGGCACTGCCGGGCACTATAACAAAATCAGACTTTATATCTTGGGGTTTTTTATAACTTTATCTGCACAACTCCAATACATGATGTCAGTGGCGTCCCCCCCCAGAGTCTCGTGTGTGCGTGGCAGCGACTGATCCGTGACTCACAGCCCGACGGAAAACACAGGCCTTATTACAGTTAGTAACAAGAAACCCTTGCTTACGACGTTAACTGCATCGGTTCGGTCGCTAATAGGCGGTTGATGGTGTTGTGTTAGCGAACAGATGTGCCCATTATATAATGCTAATGCATAAAAGCGGTGTTGTTGTTGCGCTTGTGGTTTTGAATTAACGGAATAATTATTTATTAATTTACAGCAGGCCAATCAGACGAACAAACAGTGTCACAGAAGGATAAGCAGTGCAACAGATGTAATATACTGTATATAGGGTGTCGAGCTGAAGCTGATTTGCAGCACCTGTTCCTAGTTATGCTTTTACATCTTGCTGACAAATGTGCAGATGTGACAGAATCTGGATTGAAAACAACGAGGCAGACAGTGGCTACAGTAGATATGTAAGCATAGATGAGGCAGTCCAGTCCAGTTATTGTGAATGCAGCTTGCTATGCGTGCAACTCCTGCATCTAACTTCTTTTATTTTGGTGCAAATAGTTCAGATGCACCCAAAATTGTGGACCATGAATGACACATGTTCCCCCGTTTGTCACTTTCCATACACACTGTAAGTTTTTACCACATTATGTTGACAGTAAACAGAAATAAAGGTGCAGATAAGTTAGTAAAAATGCAGCTTTTCTTTGGTTGTATTAGAAGCAGTGTAACATTTTATTATAATTTCAGATTTCTGCCTTTTGTTTTCATCCCATCCAACGCTTTGGCCGCCCTCTTTCTAATGAATGCAATGCATAATGTTTGTTGTTCTATCACATCTCAGCATTTCCCACAGGTTGAGAATTACTTGTGGTGGTGGGTGGCGTGGCGTGACTGATGTGCATGCAGAGACTCATGCGGTTTCGAGGGGGAGAGCGTAACTCAGGTTGTTCTCTGAATCAATAATTCACAGAATGTCCCCTAAACTCCTCACATGCGGACTGTCGGTAGACGTTACGATGTACAGATGTTCGCTCGCATGTGGCGGCAGACGCTGCTGGGCGGCTTGGCGCCGAGAGGCCTCTAGTCCTCACCCAGTTAGTGCAGCAAACACAACCGTGGCAGATGTGCGACCAAGTATTAGTTAAAAAAAAAAGTGAAATGAGGCTTTATAATGTCAGATTGACCCAAGTTTAAACACAGTCATTTTATGTTCCAGGTCAGGTCACACAGAGACACTTTGGAGCCCCGACTTATTACAATTGCTGAGCTTAACTGCGATCTTACCTGCTAGTGCTAATGCTGCGATGCACAAAGGTGCTTTCGAGACTGCAATTTGGCTTTTATCCTCCTAACTTGAGCTTACAATTAGCAAATGTGGATAAATTCAGGAGAACCAAGGCTACGTTCAGACTGCAGGACTTAATGCTGAATATTTTTGTGAAATCCGATTTTTTTGCGAGTTCATTCACATTTACAATTAAATGCGACTTGTATGTGATCTGCTGTGTGAACTTCATATAACCCAAAAGTGTCCCGCATGCGCAGAAGAGGACACGACGACATCACACGCAGCGAGCATGCTCAGTGAAGTAAACATGGATGGTAACGGTGGAGAGTATCTTGCGATTTTTAAGCTGTTGTCCAACCAGAGTCAGCACATTTACAATGAAATTGTTTTAAGGAGAAGATTGAAAAGGAGGAGAGCCAGGTTTTTGGCCGTGGGGCAGTGGCAGCAACATCTGTACAGAGAAACGTGTGTACATAGTCGACTTGAACGAATTGTGACGTTTGTCATGTATCAATGACGTATGGGTCGGATAAATGGCCGTTCAGACAGAAGTCAAGCGGCAAAAGATCAGATACCAATCGGATTTAGGATATCCAAGTGGCCTGTGTCGCTTTTGAAAAAATCTGATCTGCGTTGTTCAGACTGTGATGAAAAGATCAGATACAGGTCGCATAAAGATCTGGGTCACTTCAGCCTGCTGTCTGAACGTAGCCCAAGATGGTGCCACTGGCCGAAACCAACTCCTCTCAACTTTCCTGATGTAATTGGATTTAACTCTGATAATAAAACAAGCAATTAATTAAGTAATCTCGTGGGGCTTGTGACTCAGAAAAATTTATTCACCGTTTAACAACCACTTTTCTGGTCGCTGCTGGAGGCTTGGCGCCAAATGGTGGGAGTTGCTATGGCGATATGGAGAGGTTACTTTAAAGCTGATCCCGGGAGAAGAACTGACCAATAAGAAAAAAAGGACTAAACTCTCAGGATCTGATTGGTCGATTGACTCGTCTTCTGGCCAATGGAGAAAATAGCGAATACTGTCTGAAGCTTAAACAGAATTAATATATGATAAGTAGGTATTTCTAAGTGTCTGGCTTTGGTTTTTGCAGCACAAGGACCTCTTATACATCTTAATGACACGTTGAATTGGTAATTAAGGAATCTGGCAAACATTTCAAATTAAAGTATAAATTAAATGGAAGCAGTAACACCTTTGTAAGGAGTCTTTCTCTTTTTAATATGAATTCCCAAAAGGCATCTCAGCCTATTATACCAAATACCTTCGTCTGCAATAAAGGAGTTTAATATGTTTTTAAGGTTAAGGATTAATCCATAGAAGGATTGATATGTTAAATGGATTCCAGGCCAAGAGTATAGACGACATTATTTTGGATGTTGTTTACGTCAATTTCTAAAAGATGCCTTTTCACTCCGCTAAGAGCGACGCAATTCATCCATCCAGCTCCATGATTAAACCACAATGTCTTCCTGACTCTGCACTCACATTAGAATTTGAAAAAGCAGCAGCAGCAGCAAAAAAAAAGAAAGAAAACACTTAAGATATTTGTGCTACAAAGCTGAAATCCTTCGTCTTGCCTTCAGATATCATTTGGTTTTCATAGCTGCGATTTCTCTTCAGCAAAACAACATCCTCTCTAGAAGATGTTTGTGGGCCTTAAATCAGTAAGTGAATGAGTTACCATCTGTGCATGCTAATACTGATTTTAATAAATAAAAGGAGCTACTTGAAAAGGAAGGTAGAAAGCAACAAAGAAAAGGTTTTCCCCCCCCGAACCTGTTTTCTTCCAAAACTTGTGTGTGTCATAAAATTCTTTCATCTACAGAGTTTTATTGAGCCCTAATTAGTACAACACAAAGGTATGGTGTCCTCCTTCGACATTGCTGGAGGCCTAATTTGCACTCTTTGACTTTTTAAAAACCACAATAAGTTGCAGTTTTTGGATGATATGAGATACACGGTAATTTATCTTTGTGTTTTTTTTTTTTAAACGGATGCTTAACCTATTCGGCTGCTGAGATGAAATCAACAGATTAAAGTCGCCAGAAAAAGACGCCGATGAACTGATCCGCACGATGAAAAACAATGGCGGCGAAATGATCTCTGAAGGAGTTCCGCTTTAATCCTGCCGCAGCATCCCCGCGCATTACGCCAGCGACTGAAAGTGTTATTTGTTTAGCAGCTTTTTTTCAGGCCGAGAGCAAGAACACGACACATGTCAGATCTTTTGGTTCTGCTGAAGATCTCCTGTGAAACGCCGCTTTAAACTCGCTCAAGACATTTTGTATAAACATGAAATAGGAAACTAAAGCAAACACCAGCCCCAGTAAAACAAGACAGTGTAAAGACTAATGACTAATGAGATTATTTACTGCCTCAGAAGTTACAGTTTTCATTGCTTTTCTCCTCTCTTCTCCCCCCCCTCTGCTTTCAACTAGAATTGGTCACACGCTCTGCTGATATGATGACTATTTCCACATTTAGCTCAGTTTGACTTGGCTTCTGGATGTTGTCTTGGAAACTAATGAAGGGCTGTCTGCCCACAGGAACCATGGTAGTGCAAGTGGCAGCCACAGATGCAGATGACCCAACATATGGGAACAGCGCCAGGGTGGTCTACAGCATCATCCACGGACAGCCGTACTTCTCGGTGGAGCCAAAAACAGGTAGGTGCAGACGTTTACTCCCACCGGTTTTGCTTTGAAGGCTCTGATACTGCTACAGCTCATCATTTGATCATCTATTTACTATACACACATACACACACACAATTTTTCTGCCAGTTTTGAGATTTTGTGTTTTTGCCTGGACTCCTCGCCCTGATTTAAAGTCGGCTGTATTTTCAGATTTTTTGTTTTTTTGGCTTCATTCGTATGAAAACCTGGTGACTGATGAGTTTTTATTTTGCTTATGTTGCCCAACTGCCATCAATCAAATGTGACCAAACGGCAACCACGCAGGCCTGATGAAGCAGATTGGGTTTTTTGACAAATGAACCCACATTTTATTACTTTTAATAGTGCTCCACCTATTCAGCTTTCGTATAGAAACGACAGATTTAAGATGGTCAGTTTAAAAGAAGCTACTCATCAAAAAAGATAAAGCAATGCCAGAGCCTTTGTAGCTCTTCTTTCCTGTCAAAACTGACATTGCCCACAACTTAGACCCTCAAGAGTGTTTTAATCAGTGCGATAAATCCCCCTCTTAAAATTATAATATCGTTTTCTAAGTCCATGTCTAATGTAAAGCACATTGAGTTTAGTGGTCATTAAATGTGCCTTGACTTTGCACCTTCTGCCAAACAGTGGCCACAAGTGGCAATTATGAGATAAAAACACATTGGGTGCTTTTTCATTACGCTAACGTCTCTCCTCTCGCGTCCTTCACTCGCATCGTCTTCGCTCTTTCTCGCCAGAATTTTAAAGGTAGGATCTGCCTGTGTTTACTTACACCATCCTCCTTCAGAGGCCTCTCTCGTTTCCTCGAGATGCATTTAAGTGGCTTGGAAAGATCCCATCTAATGGCAAAGGGCGAACCTTCCCACGTCACGGAAGGAGAAAGGATGCACAAGTCAGCCTTATGAAAAACACCCACAGAATTTTCACCAATTTTGATTTTCTTGAGTCGGTTTCTGTGAAAGCAGCATCATTAGTTGACCCAACTGAGAGCCAGCGGGACAGGATCACAAGCATGAGACCTCAGACATGCCTCTTTATGAGGGTACGCTGTGTTGGCAGAGTTGTAAAAGCAACTCTATTATATTATATTTAGGCATTTTCACTTTTATTCAATAGAGTGAAGTAAAGGGACAGACTGGACATGACAGTGGATTATAACAGTCAACTAGGCTCCCAGACATAAAGGTCCCATATGGTGAAAATCTATTTTTATTGTGTTTGCTGGTTGTTATTAACTTAGAGGTGTAAACTATTTTCAACCATTCTGAAGAGCAGCTGCCTTTCAGCCGCCCAGGTTCGTTTACACTCCAGAGCTGCTTCTGTTAACTCTAAAAGTTAAAGCAAACGTTCTGCTGCTGGCTGCAAAAGTGAGCACCAGGGTATTTATGTGGGCTGTCCCAAGCCAATGCCATAGATCAGGTGTTACGCCCAGTTCTAGGGGCACCTGAACGCAACATGAATGCTCCATCCCTCTCTGGTTCCAAGCAGCCACACCACAGCAGTTTTACTATGACAAATGATGATTTATTTATAATAAAGGAAGGGTACTTAAAATAAGAGTGAGCTCTACTAAAAAAAACAACCAAAACGAAGCTAAATTAAGGGAGAACCAACTATCGAAAAATAAAAATATCGAAAATAAACACAACGTCTGGCCTCCCTAACCAACATAAACATGAGAAAACGGTGTAACAAAAAAGCTCACTCCATTCACAAAATCCACTACAGACAACCGGTGACGTGGTGCCGGTTGGGATGCCGGTGAGGAAATTGGCTCCGCCCATCTGACCCTCAGTCTCTGCGCGCCTGGTAAAGTCCTCCCTCCGTATTTAAAACCGGAACTTCCGCTGGATCAGCCAATCCGGTCGTCGTGACGGCGCAGCCCTATTTACATATCTAATAGAATCAGAACGGGTTACACACAAATCATAGGACATAATATTCCATAAACAAATACGACCGCAGTCGAAACATCAGGATTGAGGCAAATCACAGCACTTTTAAAAGTAACTGGTATCGGCACCAATCTTAACCCATTCCTCGTTGGCATCCTCTGCAATGGAGAGTTGCAACGGAACGCTTTGCAAAAAACATGAAGCATCACAGAAGTCCCTGTCATGGTGTTTGTTGTTGGCTGAACTCCCACAATGCTCTCTGCTTGCCAACATGGAACAGCCCAACCCTCAAAACCACCTCCTTAACATTAAGGAGAAGCTCAAAAGCAGAAATGCAGCATTGCAAAGCTCTTTATTTGCCAAGAGTATACAATAAAATGATTTTACTAACTTTAATGTACTTAAAGTGTGTTATAAGCGAGAGGAATGTTATCGCATTGGGGCTCTGGTTTGGCAGAAACTGAATATCAAATCAGGGAGGAATAAACTCCTGTCTGGTCTGGACATTGCTTGTCTTGATCGCTCCCAGCCTCTTAGGGACTGAAGACCCAGTGGATTACTTTTGTTATTGATGGAGACGTCCCCACAACAATCGAATATCCTTCGTGTTACTGAGTTGTGTGACTAATGTGGCTACCTGTTACCATTAGCTTTGATTGTATGAACTCATAAAGGTGAGAGACATTGAAAGGAGTGAATCTGAAAAACAAGAAGTGAGCTTTCATGTTGCCAGATGTGCTCCAGTGCACCTAAACTCAGCAGCATTAAAAGGCCCAAGAGTATTGATTTGAAAAATGCTGCATAGGAATTCATAGAAAGCCCTTCAATGTATGTATTTTTTCTTTCAAGGGGTGTCTGGGGCGGCTTTAGGCTCGCTCACACTGACACGTTGGCTTTGGCATCAGCAAATTAACGAAGCTGCAGAGAAGGAAGCAGACAAGCAAACTTCAGCAGCGCCACTTAATGTGATAAAGATGACAGCGTTCACATTAGAAAACAGTTAAAAGTCAGAGAAAATGGCCTAAAATGAGCTTCAACATAAGATGTAAGGTGGTTTGTTGACTTGTGGGCCCGTTTTATCCTGAGAAAGTGCAGCGGCGGTCCTCGCTACATCTTCATAGCTGGCTCATTAGCCACTGCCCTGCCGACGCTCGGCTACTTCATGCAAAGCACTCTTGCAAGAAAACAGGAAAATATGGGCCATCCCATAATATTAGGCTTCATCCTCTGCTTCGAGAGCAACACGCACACACACACATAAACATGCTGGGATTTTATGAATGTACTTCTAATTCATGAACTGGTGAAAGCCACCGCAATGCAGGGATTTATGTCGCTTATTCTTCACACTCAGGCAGACACAGAAATAAGAGGGCTGCTCGACAAAACAAACTCCAGCGTGACCCGTAAGGTTCACTGTAAACATCCAATAAGCCTAACCACCGGAAGAAAATGGAGCATTCGAGAAAAATAAATGTGTATCACAAGAAAGGAGATAACTATATACTGGGGCGGTATAATGGATGTGCTGTGTGAGGAGGAAAGGATGTTGTGAGCATCAGAATTCATCAACACATTTAGCCGTGAAGCCTGCACAGTATCACTGAATTTTCGACGGTATTTTTTTTTTAAACTTTCCGGAGACCTTCGACTAATGAAGCCTCCTGCTGCAGCTTTCATTAGCGAACATTTTCATGTTACCATGTTTTTTGGGTTGAACATTTACATGTTTTATACGCTCTAAATGCAAAAGTTCCTCGCTGATACTCTTTAAGCTCCAGCTGCTCCACTGGGACCTCTCTGAGGCTGCGAGTCTTTGATTATAAGTGAAGTTCCTCGTGTTGCTTAGAAGCTAAAACTTCTGTGGGCTAATTAATGTGTTAAAACGCTGTGATCACCTTCCTTAAGATGAGTTGGGTTCACAACTTCTGGAATTTATACTTCAATGTTTTTTCTCGTTTCCTTCTTTTTTTTTTTTTTCTGCCGTGAATGCAGCCGGTGATCAAGCGTGTGAGGTTGATCTGATCCTTTGCCGTCCCTTAAGCTAAAAAATAGCTCGCATTTTGAATAAATTAAACTAAATTTAGCCTGAGACAGACCACCTCTAATTTTAATAGATGCGTCAGAGTAGCTAACAACGTGTATTTATAAGAAATCCCTCGAGTAACGTTTTAAAATGCACAATTTTCTGAAGATTTCCAATAATATTGTCTTGCTTTGTGTAAATCACATGTTGCCCCACCTTTACTTTTATCTAAGAAGCATCCGGTTGAATTGACGAGCATATTTTTTAACTTAGGGCTGCACAATATTGCAAAAACTGGCATTGCAATAGTTTGCTTTTCTGCACTTTATATTCTGATGTGGGGGGGAGAAAAACCGAACAGGAATTTTTAATGAATGGCTTGAATAACCTTATTTTTTGAAAGAATTAATCTTTCTAGAAACATAAAGGTGATTTTGTGGGGGAGTGCATCTGCATCGAAAATAGGAATTCATTTAAAAAAATGCTTTGAGTGTGAAACATTTAGAAATTTTCTTATGTGGTGTAACACTGGCAAGGGCACCCAGAATATATTTTTTTCTATTTGGATGGCGTTCAGATCCGAGCTTTGTGATGCTGATTTAAATGGTCAAACAAATCACTTGTGTTACCTTGTGCAGTGGCAGCATTTTAAAATGAACTCAAGAGTACATTATATTATACCAGACTTCTCTTGTAGATCAGTTATAGGAAATGAGACCCATGCAATCGTTTTTTTTTTTTTTTATCAAGTTAAAAGGTTGTTGCGTGATGTGTTTGAGTTAATTGCGTTACTTCACATCACATCTCCTGACTGTTACGCACGTTGCAGTGTTGATGTTAAAGCGATACACTGTGCAGGCCAAATTTGATTTGCACAAATTAACTTTTAGTGCTATTTAATCACCATTCCTTGCCAGAACAAGGCAGCACTTACAGCTACGGTGCTATGAATTGATGTAAACTAAAGATATTGAGATGATTTTAATAGCCACTTGGTGGTAGAACAACAAGCTGTAAACACAGCGTGGATATCCAGTATTATTGTTACCTTTCCCCACATTTAGCAG